CCCCCGAAGGGGAAACAACTTGGAGAACCGGCGTCCATGGGGAAGTCACAACGAAGTTCTCACCAGAGGTGCCGCGGGTGACTGCCGAGGCTGCGGAGAACGCGCACTAACTGGGCTGGAGGGCGGGGCTCCGGAGTGGGGAGGCGGAAACCACCGCGGCAGAAACAGGGACCCGGGAAGGCCGGGGGGTGGTGGCGAGAGGCAGGCGCCGAAAAAGCGGCTATTACGATGCCCAGCGCAGGCGTCCCCCCGCCCCCCTGTCCACACCCGCGCTTGTGTCTTCACGCCGTGTTCAGGGTTGAGATGGCTCTTGCCGTTTGTGTATGCGTGTGTTTCCTTCAAACCAAATAAAAACTTAACCAAACTAAACAAAGGCACCGAGTCCACCTTACAACAAAGCCGCCAGGGCGAACATTTTACGGTCCGCCCAGCAAGCGCTGCAAGCCACGGCCCCGGCGCCCGGGGCTGTAAACAGGCTGGCGGCTCTTGCTTTTTAAAACCAACCAACGTCCTCCAGTGTTTTGCCCTGCGCCTCCTCGTCTGGCCGTGAGGTACTTTTCCACCGGCCTCCTTTTTCCCCAGTAAGGCCCCGGAGGACGAGGGGCAGCTGGCTCGGCGGGCGGGGACCAGACGCGGACTCGCCGCCGCCCAGGTCACTCCTGGCTGAGGCCGCAGGCTGGTGGCGTGCCCAGGATCTGCCCCGATGGGGCTGATCAATGCCCCCAGCCCAGCTGCTGAGATCTGCAAGTCCGGGAGGTCCTAGAAGTTCACACCCCACGGCTTCCCCCTGGCGCCAGCTCCTCGTGAACCGTGGGCTCAAACCCTCACCACCACCAACGCCCACGCCCCCGCCGGCTCCGGTGCTGAAGGCCCAGGCGGGCACGGTGGGGGCACGCCAGGCTGCGGTCCAGACCCAGGACCCTCTGGAGCACTCCTTATTTTTTTTCTTTCTTAAACTTTTCAATTTAGAAATGACCGAGCTACATTTTGAAGCGGGCAGTAACCATACGCAGGGCCCGGAAGTGCCACGTCCCACACGGTGCACGGTCCCAGCACAGCCACGCCGAACGGCCCGTGTGTGCACATGCACACGTGCACCCCATTGCCCACGGTGTATGTCAGGCGTGTTTGTTGTGTGTCACAGAAACGTAGCCCCACTGCTGTTGTACTCCTCACATCACACATCAGAGGACGAGGCCCTCCCCCTGCACCGCGGCCTGCCGCTCTGCCGTGTGGCGAGCCATACCTAATGAACGGGCCAGCCCGCCACCCCCCACCCCCGGGCTGGCCAAAGCTCAGAACTGTCCTCCTGGGCCGGGCGCGGTGGCTCACGCCCTGTCATCCTAGCCACTTCTGGGAGGCCGAAGGCAGAATGATTGCTCAAGTCAGGAGTTCGAGACCCGCAGCCTGGCAACCAGCGAGACCCCGTCTCCACTAAAAATAGAAAGAAATTAATTGGCCAACTACAAACCATATAGAAAAAATTAGCTAGGCCATGGTGGCGCATGCCTGTAAGTCCCAGCCTACTGGGGAGGCCCTGAGGCAGGAGGATCACTTGAGCCCAAGAGTTGGCAAGGTTGCTGTGAGGAGGTTGGACGCACGGCACTCATGCTAGCCCCAAGGCAACAGAGTGTCTCTTAAAAAAAAGAACTGTCCTCTGTTCTCCGGCTCAAACTTCCAGGGCCAGCACCTTGCAGGTTTTTTTTTTTTTTTATTTAGAACACCAGGATCTCATTATGCCGGCTAGAATGCTTCCAACTCCTGGGCTCAAGCAATCCTCCAGCCTCAGCCTCCTGAGTAGCCTGGGGCTCAAATAGGCATGCACCACTGCACCGTGGCTGGGGCCTTCTTTGTTTTCCCAACACTTTTCCCAACACTCTGTACTTTGTAGACTCTGGAGTAGATGCTTATTAATTGAAGGAAAGATAAAAGAAATGCCTACTTCTCACTCAACGTTTAAAAGGCCTGGCCCTCAGAGACTACCTCCCTCCAGGGAGCGCCTTCCCCATGGTCACCCAGGCAGGGTTACGGTCTCCTTAGTCTCTGAAGGCCCTGCACCCTCACCGCAAGCGCCCATGCCCTGCGTGTGACATGACGGTGCCTGTGTCACTCTCTGTCCCCAGACTGGCCTCACAACCCCCCTGGCATTGCCGCCAGCACAGTTGGTGAGTGAATAATAACGAACACGTTGCCCAGCAACGCGAGAGGGAACGTGGGTGGCCACGTCAACCGGAGCTATGCTGGTGTCACCGTGACCAGCGGGTGGGCGAGGCCTCTGCGAGGGGTCCGCATCTCCCCTGAGGCCACACGGCCCCGTGCGGGGGAGCAGGCGCAGCCAACCACAGTCTTGGTCCCCCCCCCGTGTGCAGGGCTGGAAAGGTGACACACGAGTGCCAAAGATGCAAGGGACCAGGCCGGGCGCGGCTGGCTCACGCATGTCATCCTAGCACTCTGGGAGGCCGAGCAGGAGGATCGCTCAAGGTCAGGAGTTTCAAAAACAAGCCTGAGCGAGAGAGCGGGGAGACCCGTCTCTACTATAAATAGAAATTATTGGGGCAGCTAAAAAATATATAGAAAAATGAGCCGGCATGGTGGCGCCTGCCTGTAGTCCCAGCCTACTGGGAGGCTGAGGCAGGAGGATCGCTTTAGCCCGGAGTCTGAGTGCTAGGATGACAGGCGTGAGCCACCGCGCCCGGCCTGGTCCCTCGCATCTTGCACTCGTGTGTCACCTTCCAGCCCTGCACACGGCGGGGGACCAAGACTGTGGTGGGGCCGCCGCCTGCTCCCCCGCACGGGGGGCCGTGTGGCCTCAGGGGAGATGCGGACCCTCGCAGAGGCCTCCCCACCCGCTGTCACAGGTGAGCACCAGCATAGCTGGTGACCTGTGCCACCCACATTCCCTCTCGCGTGCCGGGCAAGTGTTTGTTATTATTCACTCACCAACTGTGCTGGCGGCAATGCCAGGGAGGTTGGAGGCCAGTCTGGGGACAGAGAGTGACACAGCCCCCGTCAGTCACACGCAGGGGCATGGGCGCTG